TTTTTTTTTTTTTTTTTTTTTTTGTCTTTTTGAGATAGGGTCTCCCTGTAGCCCCAGCTGTCCTGGAACTCACTATGTAGACCAGGCATCTGGGAAAGAATTTCAAATGATTATTCTCAATAAAAGTCAAATTAAGGGGCTGGAGAGATGGCTCAGTGGGTAGAGTACTGACTGCTCTTGCAGGGGATCTGGGTTTGATTCCCAACACCCATATGATGGCTAACAATCGTCTTTAACTCCAGTTGCAGGGGATCCAATGCCCTTTTCTGATCTCCTTGGGCATTGCACAACATGGGTACACCTACCTACATGCAGGCAATATACTCATACACAAAAATAATAAAAAAAATTTTTTTTTCCTCTGATCAAGTCTCATTTATTGAACGTCTGCACAAAAATAATAAAAAAATTTTAAAGTCAAATTTAAAAAAAAGATTTCCTGGCTAAAATCCTGCAAACTCTTGTCAGTCTTGAGCCTGCAGTATAAATGCATAGTTTCAATGTAGCGTAAAATGGGAGTGCCTCCCATGGAGAAGGGCTCACACTGGCGTCTGAGTTGAGGCCACAAAACAAGAAAAACTCTTTCTCCATAGGACTAACATCTGAGTTGGGGATGGGGCAGAATTAAACAGTAATATAGCAATAATAATAAAAATGATGAGGGGACAGAGTATTGTTAAAGATCTTTACAAGATGACTCAGGGCAGAGGCCAGAAAGAAGCAAGGAATCAAATCCTCAGGTCCCACACATATTTTTAGAATCCTCTGCCCTTGCCACCTCAACCACCCTCATTCTTTGAGCTGTTCTGGGAAGATCTTGCCTATTATTCTATTGAGACTACTCCTTAAGAAAACCAGGTAGAAACAAGAGAGGGCCACATGGGCCTCAGCGAGGGCTCTGTTTTTAAAGATGGTAGAAACAACAGCAAGCTGACAGACGGACTCGCCAGAGAGGAAACTCAAGATGCAGGAAAAAAAAGTCAAACCAACTGCTGGCCCAGTTTCCTTGACAGATGAGGAGTCTATAGTAGGGATGGTCTACCCGGTTAAGAAGAGGAAGGTACAGCATGTAGTCTAGACTGGGGGCTGGGGGAGGGGGTGGCGCAAGGGGTACACCCCTCTGCAGAGTGAGAGAGTAAGAAATACACTGGCAAGGGAATCTAGCAAAACCATCTGGGCAGCATGGCCGTGTCCTTCTCAGACAAACTCTTCTGCTCAAATATGAGCTTGAAGTAGGTGGAAGGCTGGCTTTATAAAGGCTGGGATTTTGTGAAAACGTTCAATAAGAGACAGGCAGGAGCATCAGATGCCAGTGCACTGCTGGACCAAGAAATCTATGTGAGAGGAAGAGGGTAAGACACAACAGTAGAAGGTGCAAGAGCCAAAGGCCAGAGGTCATACGAGGGGCAAAATCACTGAACTAGGGCTGGAGAGATGGCTGAGTAGTTTAAGAGCACATACTGCTCTTACAGAGCATCCATGTTGGGCAGCTCACAAACGCCCATAACTCCAGCTCCAGGAGATCCAACCTCCCTCTGCAGGTGCTGTACTCATGTGCACACACCCCCATACATGTATACACATCATTAAAAGTAAGATAAACTCTGCCGGGTGTGGTGTGGTGGCACACGCCTTTAATTCCAGTACTTGGGAGGCAAAGACTGGTGGATCTCTGTGAGTTCAAGGCCAGTCTGGTCTACATAGTGAGTTTCAGGACAGCTGGAGCTACCGGGAGACCCTGTCTCAAAAAGATCAAAAATAAACTCTTGAAGAAAAAAAAAAAATGACTAAAGCTATTAGGAGGTGACCACTGAAAAAATTGATTATTTAAAATGAAGATTATGAAATGAGTACACTTATGCATAATAAGGTCCAGAAAATGGCCATGGGAGTCAGCAACAGAGATGAGGGGCAAGGGTAGGAGGCAAAGAGGTAAGATCAGGATCAGCCACACGGCTGGCAAAATCACAAGGACTCTTAACAGAAGACGAGCCAAGGGAGACAGTGAAGGCTGCTCTCAGAGTGAAGGGATGAGGGGAGAAATCTCAAGTGCACAAATGACTGCAATAAGATGTAATGGGGTGATCTGGTTGGAAGGCTTGAGCTTCAGGGAGTTTGGAGGTTTTAGGAAAGAGAGAAGAAAAGTGGCCTGAAAAGAGCAGTGAGCAAAAGGAAGTCAAGACCTCCCATCTTCACACCAGGCACGCGAGGCAATTCCCAGGCTTGGGGAGAGGAGGGTGCATCCTCAGGAGGATGACTTGATTTAATCCACTCTCTGAAACACTCACATACAACTATAAAAGCTTAACTGTAAGAAGGATCATGAGATTGAGTCCAGCTTGGCTACAAATTGAGGGACTTTGCTTCAAAAGTTTTTTTTTTAATTTTACTTATTTTTATTTTATGTGTATGAGTGTATTGCCTGCATATATGTGAGTACATCCCTGCTGTGCAATATGGCGGAGGTCAGAAGAGGGCTTTGGATTCCCCTGGAACTAGAGTTAAGGATGGTTCCTAGCCACCATGTGGGTGCTGGGACTCGAACCCAGGTCCTCTGCAAGCGCAGTCAGTGCTCTTAACCACTGAGCCATCTCTCCAGCCCCCAAAAGAGTTTTTAAGAACAAAAAGAAAAAAAAGGGTCGGGGGGGGAGGGGGCTGGAGGCTGGAGAGATGACTTGGTGATTAAGAGCACTGGCTGCTCTTGCAGAGGACCTGGGTATGGTTCCCAGCACCCACATTGTGGCTAACAAGTATAACTCCAGTTCCAGGGGATCCGATGCCCTCTTCTAATCTCCACGGGCACTGCATAACATGAGTGCACTTACACACAGGCAGGTAATACAGTCATACGCATAAAATAACAATAACAAATAAAATATTTAAAAGAAAACAAAATAAGCAAAAAACTTGACTGTCCAGAGACTAGAAAATGGTTTTCCACTATTCTTTTTTTTTGGTCTTTTTAAGACAGGGTCTCCCTGTAGCTCCAGCTGGCCTGGAACTTACTTTGTAGACCAGGCTGAGGCTGGCCTGTAACTCAGAGATCCGCCTGCCTCTGCCTCCCAACACCTGGGTGTTTTCCACTATTCTTAAAGTTAACTATTGATCTAACAACAAAAAGTTACTGAAATTCTCTGAGAATATGGCAATTGAAAAGCCATAGCATGTTCAATTGTCAGCACTACATAAAACTGGACATGTTGGTACATGCCTATAATCCCAGCACTAGGGGTGGAGGAAGGAGGATCAGAAGTTCAAGGCCACTCTGGCAAACACAAGACTCTATCTCAAATACGATAAAATAAGTTCCTAGAATTGAAATTCAGGTGCTTCACTGGGAGATAATATAAACTAGCTAGTCCATGCCCATATTTTAATTCCATATTCTTTGCAGATATGACACTGACAAGTTTCCAGTTCCACAAAGGTTGTGGTTTAAGCACTAGCCTGGAGAGTAAGTAGCTTTTCAACACAGCAATACTTACTTCACAATGCCATAACCCAAGCTCACAATGATCACAAGAAGGCGAGCCAATGTCCTCTTAATCGCAGATATCAACTCTGCAAATATCAGTAAACCTTGGGCTGAAAGGGAGAAAAAAGAAAATTCATTGTACATACTTCTGGAGACATTCCAACTAAGATTCTAAAACAGTGCTATGTACAATGACATCTGACCTCAGACTAATTAGCATATCTGATTTACAAGTCATCTAATCCAACTGACATTTCAAACCTCAGTGAAAAGGAACTCGCTGCCTTTTGAAGAATTCACCACAAGTCTGATCAGCTCCACTGGGCAGTCTATGTCAGCTGAAACCTGCCCCAAGCTCCCTCTGCTTTTGTTCTTCCCCTTGATGCTACACAGAACTACAACCCTTTTCATGCCCAGTAAATATCTGAAAGCCATAATGTTCTCGGAGGGCTCTCTTCTCCAGGTGCCTTCGTTTGTTCATTAAAATGTGTAAGTAGTAAAACGCTTGCCTAGCATGCGCAGGGTCCTGGGTTCCATTTAAAACCACAAAAACAAATGGAAAATATTCATTAGGCGCCAACTGTATGGCTATCATAGTCAAGAGGCACCTTGCTCCCTATCTGCGTAGACCCTGTACTCTGTTTAGGCCACGTACAGGAACAGAACTCAGCAAGAAGTGCTGGATATGACACAGGAACCTTGGGACTAGAAGGATCACATTTGGGGAAGGTGGAAGTTGGTCTATAAAAGCTCACAAAAATCAAATTTAAATGAGGACTTCAAGTATCTGGGGCAAGGAAAGGGCAAAGCAAAGACAAAAGCCCAGGCAAGCAAGGAGAAAGGGAAAGCAAATATGCTGGAAGAAGCGTACACAGTACGTCTGCAGCAGAGTGCAGTGTCGGGAAGTCAAGAAAGAGCACAGTAAGGAGGCAGGGACCACTCATGGAGTTTAGAGACCCTGTTATGAACTCTAGATTTGATGCTAAAAGCACTGGCCACACCTAAAGTATCCAAACACAGAACTTGGTGTTGTTTTAATCCCACCTGAGCCTCAAAGAATGAGAATTTTCTTTTTCCCAGGAAGAAAACTGAAAGGAAAGTTATCGAGAAAGAAAACAAGATAAAAAGAACACATATACTAGCCCAGTCATGGTCCTACCCTGGCATCTCATTGTGTCATGTATGTGTGTATTGGGGGGGATGTGGTGGGTGCACATACCAATCCATGCAGAGGCTCTCTCCACCTTATTCTGTCACTGAACCTGGAGCTAGGCTGACAGTCAGCAAGCCCTAGTAATCCCCGTGTCTCTACTTCCACAACACTGGGGTTATAGGCACATGTGCAGTCACATCTAGCTTTTATGGGAGTTCTGGGATTCAAACTCATGTCTTCATACTTGTACAGCAAGTGGTTTACTCACTGAGCAATCTCCCAAGGCCCTGACACTCTCTTCTTGGCTTCCCTCCTCTTCACTGACAATACAGCTATTTGCAAACCACTGCAGGGCCTCCTGCAGCTCTGCTCATACATGCTAAACTGCATCACACTCATTGTGGAGACAGTCAAAACTTACTTGACAGTCCAGTGCTGTTGATGTTTTGGTATTCACTATAAAAAACTGCTTTTTCAAGCATTCCTAGGAAAATAACAGCGGCAATCCAGAACTGGATTCTTAATATATCTTTCCAGTAACAGGCAGACCACATCAACCAGAGGACACCATATAATATGTAAACAATACACATCACCATGTAAAACTGCAGGAAGAGAAACAATGTTAGTCACTAACCCTTCGGACCATTTGAGAGCTGGCATTTCTAGCATCTCCTACCCTTCATCTCCAATCACTCTGGAACCAGAAAGAGGGTGTGTCAAAGCATTACTTAGGAAAACTTGCCACCATTGAGCTCTGGAAATTTTTAAACCTTGCTGGGCGTGGTGGCGCACGCCTTTGATCCCAGCACTTAGGAGGCAGAGACGGGAGGATCTCTGTGAGGTCAAGGCTAGCCTGGTTTACATAGTGAGTTCCAGGCCAGCTGGTGCTACAGGGAGACCCTGTCTAAAAAAAAAAAATTTAAATTCATCTGAATAAAAAGGGGGGGATGAGAAATACTCACAATCATTAGAGGCCAATCTGATGCAGAGATATATCCATGAGGCCCCACCATAGAAAGAGAAACTAGTAGCAGCAACAGTAGGGACAGAAGAAAAACAAGTTAATAATCAGGTTTTCAAAATATAAGCTCATTTCCCAAATCTACTTTTCCCCAGTCCATTTAAAACATAAATATTAGGGAGCTGGAGAGATGGCTCAGCAGTTAAGAGCACTGGCTGTTCTTGAGGTGGACCCCAGTTCAGTTCCCAGCACCCACATAGTGGCTCACAACTATCCTTAATTCCAGTTCCAGGGGATCCGATGCTCTCTTCTGACCTCCACAGGCACTGCATAACACAGGTACACTTACATACATGTAGATAATACACGCACAATCAGTATTAAGATAAGCACAAAGTTTTAAGTCTTCAGATGTATGGCAAAGAGAAATACATTAAAATATTTTATTATTATTTTTTGTTTTATGTGTATGAGTGTACTGCCGGCATGTATGTAAGAGTACCCATGTTGCGCAATGCCTGTGGAGGTCAGAAAAGGGTGCTGGATCGACTGGAGTTAGTTGTTAGCGGCCATGCGGGTGCTGGGAATAGAACCCCAGTCCTCTGCAAGAGCAATCAGTGCACTTAACTGCTGAGCCATCTCTCCTGCCCACAGAAATCCACTTTTGAAAGACACGTTTTTAATAGAGAATATATTCACATTAATGACAAAATCTATGGTGTACAAAGAATGTATGCATAAGGGTTAACTGTACCATTCAAATTCCAGTTTGCATCTGTTTTGTCTGTTTTAATAGAGACAATGAAGATGTGAAAGCCATCCCTCTGTGTCCTGGCTACGATGTCCTAAAATGGGAAGAACAATTCTTTGTTCTTTGAAGCAGATTGGTATATAAAATACAGTTATATGATTGTAAACATTTCAAAACAATTTCCCCATACCCAAAGGGGAAGCAAGTAAAAGGTTCCCATTCTTCAATGTCTTTTGCTACTTATAATAATACATTTCCACAGGTTCTCCCTATATTCCTATTCAATGTTTTCTTTAATATTATCATTCAATTTTTTTTTCTAGGGTGGGCCTGGTTGTGCATTCCTTTAATCTCAGTACTCAGGAAGCAGAGGTAAGTAGATCTCTGTGAGTCTGGGGACAGTCTGCTCTACATAGATAGTTTTAGGTCAGCCAGGGGTACATAGTGAGACCTTGCCCATGGTGATGCTATTGACTCTTCCAATGTTGCTGCATAACCAACCTGGCCACAGTCCGCCTCCCTGAATATTTTCTATCTCTTCCTTTCATTTCCTATTCCACTTAAGACAGTTTGTGCAAAGAATGTCCCAGGTACTGCAGCAGGGTGTCTTTTTATTATTAAACTTCTTTTAAAGTGGCTGGGGAAGTGTGAGGTCACTATACAAACACATAAAGGCTATTTTTAATCTCTCCTATGCCCAGTTCTAGCCCCTGCATATAATTCCCTCTACGCCTCTGCACCTCTTAGCCTCTGACTCTTAGTAATTCCCCCAAATACCACAATTTCCATCCCTGCTGTGCTACATTGATGGCTTCTAGCTTCACACCTTTAATGACAATAGCAGCCCACAGCTATGCTGAGAACTGGAACTTATTAAAGAAAAAAGGGGCTGCAGAGTTAGTCTTAAATTACAGCTTTTTAAAAGAGATTTTAAAACAAAAATTAGAAACAATATGTGCTAGGTCTATAAGAAACAAACAAGAAAACATAACTGTTCTAAACAGCTCCCTTTTTTCTTTTCTAATTTTAATAACTCTGTCATTCTCCTAGTATCCATCAGATTTATTTTTCAGTCTTGCTATAATTTGTGCATATTTGATTTAAAGACAAATAAAATGGTTTACCATTGAACCTTCCTGGCTTGAAACATTTCTTATGCCTGTCAGTTCTTTATTCTGGAAAAGAATAAAACAATCTCATTTTACATTACTACATTTCTATGTAGAAAAACAGTTTTAATAATTAAGACAGACGTGCTAGAAGAAAGTCAGGTGTGGGAGCACATGGCTTTGATTCCTGCCTGGGAGAGGCAGAGGCAAGTGGATCTCTGAGTTCGAGGCCAGTCTGCTCTATATAAATAGAGTTCCAGGCCAGTCAGGGTTACACAAGAAGACCGTGTTCTCCAAAACAGATTTAGAAGCTAAATATCAGAGAGCGATTCTCAATGTACTCTGAACATGCATAACAAAATTCTGCTGCTTATGAATTACTTTCATAATAATGAGGTTACCATTGGAGAGCGGTTGCTGTTAGGAAAGTATAGAAAATTAAAATGGGTTCTAGGTGTTTAAAAAATTCTGTATTTAGCCAGGCGTGGTAGCGCACGCCTTTAATCCCAGCACTCGGGAGGCAGAGGCACGTGGATCTCTGAGTTCAAGGCTAGCCTGGTCTACATAGAGAGTTCCAGGACAGCTGGAGCTACAGGGATACCCTGTCTAAAAAAAAAAAAAAAAAAAAAAAAAAACCTGTATTTGATCTACACAGTTTTTGAAAACTCAGAGGTGTACAGCTACATGTACTTCTCTGCATGTTCATTATGTCTCTACACAATTTTTTTATGTGTATGAGTGTTTTACCTGCACCATGCATGCTAGTGCACCTGTGCATGCAATGTCCATGGAAGCCAGAAAAGGGGGTCAGATCCCCTGGAACTGGAGCTATAGATTGTTGTCAGCTGCTACATGGGTGCCAGGTCCTCCGCAAGAGCAGCCAGTGTTCTTAACCACTGAGCCATCTCTCCAGACCCACTTCTATACAAAATTTTAAAAAGAACTTTCAATTTTTTTACTAAAGACATTTTGATATAGAATTTTTAGGGGGTGGGGCAGTTACAATGATCCATAACCTCATTCTTCAGAGATGATGGTTACTTTAATTTTATTTATGATCTTTACTTTATTGTATGAGTGTACTGCCTGCATGTAAGTGTACCCATATTGTATAATGCCCACAGAGTTCAGAAAAGGGCACCAGATTCCCCTGGAACTGGAGTTACAGATAGTTATTAGATTCCATGTGGGTGCTAAGAACTGAACCCAGAGGTCCTCTGCAAGAGAAGCCAGTGTTCTTAACTGTTGAGCCATCTCTCCAGCCCTGGGATGATGGCTATTAGTGTCTACAAAATAGCAGGCTGGAAGAGCTAACAGGCGCACAAGAAAAAATGTTGAGATATAGTATTTTATAAATGCTGATAATGAGGCAACACCTTTGATAAGAGTGATAGATCACTGGCCTTAACAGCATGGAGGTCACAGGTAATCTTGACTAGGGCTGATCTGATGGGACGTTAAGGGTAATGGCCTGACCACAGTGGAGAGAATGAGAGATAAACGGGAGAGAGAAGATCCTACAAAGCTCTTGCAAGGATACTGGGAAAAATGGACAAAGAAAAGGAACGGAGCCTGGCGTGGTGGTGCACACTTTTAATCTCAGCATTATGGAGGCAGAAGCAGGCAGAGTCTCTGAGTTTGAGGTCAGCCTGGTCTACATAGTGAGTTCTAGGCCAGGCTGGTCTCCATAGTGAGTTCCAGGCCAGCCAGGACTACACAGTGAGACCTTAACTCAAGAAGAAAAACAAACAAACAAACAAACAAACAAACAAACAAACAAACAAAAAACACAGAGAAAAGGAGAAGGATACTAATTTCTTTTTTATTTTATTTATTTATTTTATTCATTTGTTTTTTGGTCTTTTTGAGACAGGGTCTCTCTGCAGGCCCAGCTGGACTGGAACTCACTATGTAGACCAGGTTGGCCTTGAACTAACAGAGATCCGCCTGCCTCTGCCTCCTGTGTGCTGGGATTAAAGATGTGTACCACCACGTTTGGCTTATTTTATCATTTTTATTTTTATGTGTATGAGTGTACTGCCTGCAGGTAAGCAAGTGCACACATGCTATGCAGAGCCCACAGAGGCCAGAAGAGGGCATTGGATCCCCTGAAACTGGAGTGACAGACTGTTGTTCACTACTGTGTGGGTGCTAGGAATCAAACCTCGGTCCTCTGAAAGAGCAGCCAGTGCTCTTAACCATTGAGCATCTCTCCAGCCCCCTAATTTCTTTCTTATATCCTACTACCTTATTATGTACTAAGACTTGACAAATTAAATTTTCTTTATCAAAATACTGACAAAACATTAAGTTGGTATTTAAATACACTATGAATAAAAGAAACTACATTTTAACATGGCAAGACAGATAGATACTCACGTTTAATGAGGGAAACACCTGTAAATCACTGTTGCAATCTAAGTTTTCATTTTTTGTTGTCCAACAGTCAATGTTCTTGAAATAAGCACAGAAGTCCTGATCATGAAGTTCACGTTTTTGGGACATCTCCTACCCAAGGTAAAATTCTATGTTATAACTTATTTCCACACTTCTTTTCCTAGAAGATAAATAAAACTTCATATCTAAATAATATCAAGAGTTAATTCAGTTTGGAATACTTGAAAATATGCAATAAAATACCAAAGAGGAAAAAAAGGTTAAATGTAATTCTAAATATAACTGAGGTGATCATATCATTTTAGCCATTCTAACATATTCAAGTACAATAATAATACAGCATACAAGCATGGTCTTATCATGAGAAAAGAGATTCAGATACTATCATAGCCAGGCATGGAGGTGCATGCCTCTTAATCCCAGTACCTAGGAGGCCAAGGCAGGCGATGTGGGTATATAAGGCTAGCCTGGAATATATAGGGAGACTCTGACTCAGAAAAAAAACAATGTACCACCACAAAGAAATAGCTCCCAGAAAAAATATATCCTGGGACTACATCTATTTTATCCTATGTGAAAGAGATTTTACAGAGAAAGAAAAGAGCATTTAATTACAAAGAAGGGCAAGCAAACAGTAACATAAAGCAAAAGTAGCTTATCTCCAAGGACCTGAGGTTTTGTGCATCTAGAATACATGAACAACCAAGCTACTAATGGCAGCTCCCCATTGGGTAGCTCTCACAGACCAAATACAGGACAATATGAGAATAAATAAAAAGAATAACTGATAATAGCCTATAAAACAAAGTGAAAATTAATGTGTCCATGCTGACAACAGAAAAAAAGAGAGGAAAAAGGACAGCTCATTTATAAAGTAAAGAACATCTTGCAGAAGCCCACAGGAGCCCTGTGCACTGGGGGGAAGGAGTCCTGGCTTCGGAGGAGAAGCTTCCTTGGGCTCTTCTTCCTCCTCTCCTCTGCTCTTCTCCAGACTCTCTTTTCTTCTCACTTCTGAGATTGGCTTGAACACATTGAATCTACTTGTCCTCTCTTAAGTTCTGGCTTTCATATGACTCATCTTTTGAATGATGTGAAATCTCAATTTCCTTCTCAAATTAAGGTGACTTTCCATGTGTATTTGACCCACAGCCCCCTTACCTACAACTCTAATTTTTCATAAGATAATTTTTCAGTTCCTACAACTCTAATTTTTCATAAGATACTCACAAGATTAGAAGGATTATAGTTTCCTCAAACAACATACACTTAATCTGGCCCACTTCTAAAATTATAATCTCTACTTCCAGCCTCCTTGCTTGATGAGCTATTAATCTCTATACTTATATTTTTCCTTCACTACGGGTCTATTTTACTCACCTCCAGCTCAGAGTAGTCATTGTGACAGGTGTGATACTTCAAATGCCACTCTATGGTAAACTTCACAGGCCCAAAGCAGCTGAATGACTTAACTGTTCAGAAAAAGACATTTCACATTACATTTCATTTTATGTCAATATCACAGTCTAGTATAAACTTAAAGTTTCAAGAATACTGTTTCAAACAGGTTATTTTAATGTTAATGAGTAAAATGTTATCTAAGTCACTGCAACATGACACAGAAAAATTAAGCTTTTATAGTTAATTGAAACTTGCTATAACACTATTCAAATATAAGTTCAATGTTGAAATCAGTTAAGTAGCCTGACTTGCTCAATTGTAGCTTCTATCAGTCTAACACAGTCTTCTTACTCAAAGTATACTGAACGAGTCTTTTACTGAGGTTAACAAGAATAATTCCTATATATGAACTAAGAGGCAGTGCAGAGGAGACAGTTTACAAGTGCTTTCAGTAGCCTAACAGACTGAGAATAGGGTGTCAAGCAGGCACTGGGCAGGGAACCCAGCACAGTCTAGGACTATGGGCTAGTTAGCTGCAGGAAGAAGAAAAGCAGGAGTGAGTCAGGTGAAGGAAGGTAATGGGATGCACTTAGGCCTAGAATAAGTGTGAGCCCGGCCTGAGGGTGACAGCCTGGTTATGGTTAGAACACAGACTGCAGGAAAGGGGAAAAGGTGAGCTGAAGAGTGCTGGGGGAAAGTCATGAGAGGTCTTATGCTTTACCAAGGAGGCTGATCTTCCTTTTGAATATCATAAAACATCATGAAATGCTTTAAGTTCAGGGTGGTGTGATTAGATGAAAAAGAGTTAAGTTTAAAGCTAGAGGAAGCTCTTGTAGGATGTGTCCTTAAGTCAGGGCAGCTGGCTTCTCCAGTGCAGGTTATCAGGGAAGGAGCAGAGGAGCCAGAGTATCTTTTTCTCACATAGCCTCAGACACAGTATGACATACTTCTGTTAGTATAAGACCAACTCTGTTAGAATGTGGTAGGCCATGAGTACCAGAAGGCTAGTGTGATGGTTTGAATGAAAATGTTCCCCATAGGCTCCAAGTATTTGGACATTTTATCCCCAGATGGTGGTGCTGTTTGGGGAGGTCTTAGAAGGTATGGCTATCCTGGAGGAAGCAAGTCACTAGGGGTGGGCTTAGAGAGTTCTAAAACCTGGGGAGGTCTCCAGCTGCTCTTGTTTTGAAGATGTGAGTGACTAATACAGCTAGGATCACTGTATATCACCTTAAAGGCTGATGACAACACAGAGCCCAAACTGAGCCCATAGGCAGAAGTTCAAAAGGTTAAGGCTGGTAGAATTTCCATGACAGATTACCCAATAAATTAAAACTCCATAGAGACATAGTAAGAGAAATCTGCACAGTAATCCCCTTGAGTCTCTGGCTGGAAAACGTCCTGTCACACATAGGAATAAGCCTGACAATTCTCAGAACTCAGCCTCATGCTTGCCCCAGACTACTTAATGAGAAGCAACTATAAAGTGGCCACAGAATGAGCAATACCTCCCTCCTTTCAGCATGTTTCCCAGGAAGCCCAGCAGTGGTGAGGCTGCCTGGTGTGCAGGGCATCACAAGGGGGCTCAAGTGACTGCTTCCTCCCTACCTGCCATTCACATGCTGCACGGTTCAGGAAGACCTCTCTCCTAACAGTGCTGTTGGGCACTCCCAGGTTTTGCATAAAGCCCAGCTGTGTGAGGCTTCTGCTCAAATCCCTTTGCTGCTCCATTTTTCTATGACAGTCTTGCTCTTCAACTGAGGTAAGGCATTATGTAATAATGAGTTCTTAAAAATCAAATTTTGTTTCTGTAACCTGGACTATTTTTTTTCCCTTCAAATCACATTTTGCTAGGCCTAGTCTGAGGTTCTTTCAAAACCTACTTGTCTAGACTTTGAGACAGAATTTCATTAAAGCAGATGTATGGAAGTTTTTCCTTGCCCACCTGGGACTGCTATTTCCTTTTATTTATCACTGTGATGAGCTATGAAATCACACAGCATCTTGAAACCACCTCTTCTTTCTGGCTGCTGGCTGTCAACTTCCCTCAACAATACCCACAAGTGACAGATTGGAGCTGGAGAGATGGCTCAGAGATTAAGAGCACCACCCACTCTTGCATAGGACCAGGGTTTGATTCCCAGCAGCCACATGGCAGCTAACAACCATCCATAACTCCAGTTCCAGGGGATCCGATGGCCTCTTCTAACCTCTGTGGGCATTGCACCACATGGGTACACTTACATACATGCTTGTAATATACTCATACACATAAAAAATAAAAAAGGGGCTGGAAAGATGGCTCAGTGGTTAAGAACACCAGCTGATCTTGCAGAGGACTCAGGTTTGATGCCCAACACCCGCAGGGTGGCTAACAACCATAACTCCAGTTCCAGGGGAATCCAACACCTTCTTCTGACCACCACAGGCACTGCACGACACGGGTGCACTTACATACATGCAGGCAATACAGTCATACACAAAAGATTAAAATAATAAAATATTGTATAAATAAAATAAAAACAAAAAAACAGAACAAAAAACCACACACACAAATGGCAGAGTCATTCCAGGTGATCTGAGCCTGGAGTAAAAAGGACACAGCTATGGATACTGGCAAGTCAGTTTGCTTTACTCAGTGAAAACTCCTTATCCTCAGACTTTAATTCTAGCAATCAACTTTCCTAATCAAAATATTGGAAACCAGAAGAAATTCCACCACAGTGACTATAATCCATTGTTAGCTCATTAAAAGTAGCAAAAAATGTTGGTAGCCCTGGTGCATTCAGTAATTACAAAGTACTTAAATATTTTCACTTTCTAAAGTCCTAAAACTCTAATTAAAATGTTAGTGTACAGAAATTTTTACTTGATTCTATTTATCATGAACATTTAGAACATTTTCAGTATGTCACAATCATGATATATCCAAAACAGGGATTTGTCTGGTCTTAAAATTTAGGACTCAGCCAGGTGTGGTGGCGCACGCCTTTAATCCCAGCACTCGGAAGGCAGAGGCAGACGGATCTCTGTGAGTTCAAGGCCAGCCTGGTCCACATAGTGAGTTCCAGGACGGCTGGGGCTACAAGGAGACCCTGTCTCAAAAAGACCCCCCCCCAAAAAAAAATTGGGACTCAAAGTCAAATTTCACAGAAAGCAAATACTTTTTCACTGAAGCTTACTTTATTAGACATTAATTATAATTTTTATATTTTTCCTTTATTAGTGTGTGTGTATGTGTGTGTGTGTATTTGTATGAATGTGGGTGTGTGCATGTCACAATACTTGTGTAGAGGCCAGAGGAAGTTGGTTCTCTCCTTCTACTGTGGGTTCTAGTGACTGAACTCAAGAGTCAGGCTTTCATGGCAAACAATTTTATCCATTAAGCCATTACACTGGTCCTTCAATTATAATTTTTGAAGACTGAGTCATACTATATTTTTAGAAAGAGGATTAGAAAAACAAATCCATTCTTGCAAATAATCAAGCCTTGAATGAAATGAAATTCTAAAATGTTACAACCAGTTAAAAATGAAACACTCAGCTTAATATATATGGTTACATTTATGTATTCATTTAGAGTATATGTCAAATGTTTATATTATTATACTCACCAGAAAACTTGATGTCAGTAGAGTTAAACATAGTTTTCCTAAATATCAAAGGTCCTGATTTCTAAAGTGAAAAACAAATACAGAAAAATCTTAAACTTTTTTGTCTATTGTTTAAATGTAGTTTCATCCTTGTAAATACAGAACTTTAATCCCTGTACCACATGCCAGAACTTAATTCAACAGAAAGACCAAGAATTTCCCATACTGCTATTGTCCCACTACTTTTCTTGCCAAGTCAGACCAGCTACATATCTCCAAAGACCAGGGCTCCATCAGTGTTCGTACAATATTCCAAACGTGCTGTGAGGGGAATAAACATCTACTTATGTGTTGCACCTGCTATTGTGTGAGCTCCCTGAGGGAAGGGGCTACATGGAAAATTTCATCTTTGCAAGAGCAATGACTAGTCTAGAGTATGGTGTGTGGTGGTATGCAAACTCTTTGCTGATTTTTATAGCTAAAAGAATCATTTTTTGATAAGATTCACAGTACAAATGAAAGTCCCACTCTCTCTTTCTGTTCTAAAGGACAAATTCTGACAACCCAAAATGGGGAGGGGGAATTAGCCTACTTTTTGCAAAGTCTTTTCTCATCCTACTGGCCTAAGCACACAGGAGATAAACTCAGCCTGACTAAATCATATGGCAGTCAAGAAACAAACTTAATCTGCCATTCTCGGGGGAGGCTCACTATCCAAAGTTTACTTGGCAAAGCTCTTTGCACACATGCTCAAGTAGACTAACAGAGATGATTCACCCCCAGTATCTTTTTCCAGTAATTATTATTGGCTCAATTGCATTCACTATAGAAAGAAGCAGGAAACTGTGAAGGATGGTTCACAAATGTTGCTTTTACTCCTTGATTTAATTTTATTTTATGTGTATGAACGTTATGCCCGCATGTATGTAAGTGCGCCCATGTTGTTCAGTGCTAGGGAGGCCAGAAGAAGGTGTTGGATCCCCTGGAACTGGAGTTATAGATAGATGGTTGTTAGATGCCATATGCGTACTGGGATTTGAACTTGGGTCCTCTTCAAGAGCAGTACTCTTAACCATTGAGCTATCTCTCCAGTCCCCAAATGTTGGTTTTTGATAAGAGGAATTCAGCAATAGAGACACTCAGATCTTATCATTGGTATGCATATAACACAGGGTGCCAACTCAGAAGACTCTTGAAAAAAATGGGTATAATCAGTCTAAACAATACAGAAGTTACCTATATTTGATCTTTTGTATAGGTTTAGGTTGTAAGAAGTATGTGTAGGTTCTGATACTATTACTTTTGGGCGAGTAAATAGAAATATAAATTTCATCTTCAGAACTTGGATGTCATTTCAATACATTCTATCTAAACAGAGCTGGATGAGTCATCTGACCCTAGAGAAACCAGTGAGAATGCCTCTTCCTCACTTCCTGGTTTCTTCTGCAAGACTTTCCATAATTCTGTTCCTGCATTCTTCCCAGATCATCTCCTAACTACACAAGACGCTAAGTTCTCTGCCAGCCTGCCCTGTTAAGGAAGAGTTTCTATCCAACCAAGCCTCCAGACTCGCCTTTTTAAACAATCCATAATCTCATGTTCCGCCCCGCCTCTACACTAAGTCCCGGAACTATGACAGGAGCGCTCGAAAATAAGCAGAAACCCAAGAAGGAAAGGTGACTATTGCATGGTCCCTTCTAAATTTATTTTGATGCTAACAGAATGGCTGGACAGATCTCCCTGTGGCCTCGCGACTATGGCTCCAGAGGCAGCAATCTGGTAGGTATCCAGTCCCAATGATGCCACTGGCTATGCAGAGACTGGAGCTGTGGTCTAAACAAGGACATGACATGGACACACCATGTCAGAACACAGAGAGATGCCAGGACTCGGCGGGTGGAGAGCGTGGAAGGGGAAGCTGTCTAAAGCACGACCTGGTCGCTCTTCCCCGAAGCCCAGGTCGGGCAGCGGAGGGGACGCTCCTCTCCCAGAGTCCAGGAGACATAAAAAGGCTCAGGGGACCCGGAGCAAGTCCAGCACAGGCCAGGAAATAAGCCTGAGGCCCGAGCCGCGCAGGGTGTGCGACCCCGTCAGGGCCCTGGGAGTAGCGCCTCGCTTGGGTGTCCGGGTGGCCACACCGCACTTACGTCATTGACCGTCCTGGTCCAGAGCCCGAGCTCAGGAACAGCGTCCACAGCCGTCGGGGCCCAGCACAGGAGGCACAGGGCGACGCGCAGCAGCCGGGCCCCGGTGGGTAGGGGGCCGGAGCTGCCTGGAGGAAGCCAGGCCGAGGCGCGGCAGGAGGCGGCCATCTTGACACGGAAACTGCACCTGCGCTCCCGGAACCCGACCACGCCCTGGGGCTGCACCTGGAGCAGATTCGGCCGCCTGGAGGGCGGGGTCCGCGACGGAGAGGCTGGGCTCGGGCGAGGCGGGGAAGCGCTGTGCGCGCCTGGGAAGCGGGGCTGAGACTTGGAGGTGGGACTCGGGGCGCGGCCGGAACGAGAGGCGCGGAGGGGAGTGGAGAGTCGGAAGATAAAGGAGACCTCTGAGCTGGGAGGGGCGTGGCCAACAGTGGGGCGGGGCGGAAAAGGGGTAGGGCCAATTGTGGACGTGATTGGGTGGGCGGAGTTATGGGGAGAAGGCGTGGTGGGAAGGCGGGACCGCGACGTGACTGAAGGGCCGGGCGGGGAGGTGGGACTCAGGGCCGGGCCTGGGCGGAACTAGAGAAAGCATGGAGGGGCGGCGGGGAAAGTCAGAGGGGGGGCGGGACCAAGAAAGGAAAGGGGCGGGACTCAAAAAGGAAAGGGGCGAGGAGAAGGGGGCAGGTTAAGGAGGAGAGGCCAGCAGCAAGACGGGGCGGGGCTGGGAGGCGGGACTGAAGTGTGGAGATCCGACTGCTACTTGGCTGAGAAGCCGGTTCGGCAGGGACCAGGATGGGTCGCCGGATTAGAGGTGCTCTGGACCTGGGCGAAGTGTAAGGCAGGTTCGGCAGGGAAGTGGAGCCAGTCTGAGGCACCAAGCTCTCCCATCCGGGATTCCTGGCCAGTGAGGGCTATGGATGGAGTGCGGGCGGAAGTTCTGTTTCTTGCACCCTCTGCACCTCCCCGAGCCTTTCAGATTTGTGGCAACCAACAGTTCTTTAATTTCCTGCAAGGTGCCGAGAGTGGTAGCGCACGCCTTTGATCCCAGCACTCAAGAAAAGGCAGGCAGATCTCTGTGAGTTCAGGGCCAGCTGGTCTACATACATGCATACATACATACATACATGCATACATAAATTTCCTGCAAGGTACCCAGAAAGTGCTTGGAAGCCAGGGCCGGTTGAACACAAAGCATTGTGTTGTGAGCATTTAACGTCTATAAGAAAGATACTAACTTTCAGAATAAGAAAAATTGCCTGATTGCTTAAAGCTCAGAGGAAGCGGGCCAGCATCTGTCTTTTGCTGTACCTTATGTGGCGTTTTCTGCTGTATGTGTTGCTATCAAGGAGAAATAGTTCATTTATCCTCAAATACAAGACAGAACCCTGAGTTAATGTTACGAGTCACTCCATCGTTCTTTAGTAATTTTTAAAATGTTGAAACGGCCTCATTTTGTAGCCCTGACTAACCTTGAATTCTCTATGTAGACCAGGCTGGCCAGATCTGCCTGCCTCTGCCTCCTGAGTGCTGGGATTAAAGGAGTGCACCACAATGCCTGGCCCAGTAATTTTGTTATTTTGAATTTATTTGTATTCTTCCCCACAACCCTCTTCTCCACCCCCTCCTCCTCCCCCTCCCCCACTCCCTTTCCCTCCCTGGTCTTATGTAGCACATGCTGGCTTCAAACTCATTATGTAGCGACGGATGACCTGGAACTCCTGATTCTCCTGCCACCTAGCAAGTGCTGGGATTACCAGAGTGCGCTACCATGCCCAGCTGTAGTAATTATTGAAAATGTGCTGTATACCCGAGGTTGCATGCGTATTCATGCCCTTTCCAGTAAGCAGTGCCATCAGTTCTTTGTTGGTGAGAATATTTGTTGTCTTAAAACCAATGGAAATTTAGGAGGTGAATTAACTGTGGGAGTTACAGGTAGGTCTGAATATGTTTTAGCAGAATGAGAATAGCCTCTGCCCTCCCAAGACTGAGATAAAGAAAAAAATCTTCCAGGTGGCTGGATCTTGGTGTGAGATGGGAGTGGCAAGATTGGTAACATTTAAGCTGTGTCAGGGACTCCTCTACTGCTAGGAAGATGAGACGTTAGTCTAGAACACTGGAGTAGCAATAATGGTTTTAAGCAAAGGATAAGATGGCCAGAAAGATCATTTTGGTTGTCATATGAAAACCACACATGTGAAGGTGGGCAGTTTGGTGGACAGTTAAGACTATTTCAATAATTGGGGGTTGGGTAAATGGCTCAGTGGCTAAGAGCATGTGCTGGTCTTCCAGAGGACCAGAGTTCAATTCCCAGCAACAACATCAGGCTGCTCACAACCACCTGTAACTCCAGCACCTAGAGATCCAATCCTGGCTTTCTCAGGTACCTGCAAATACACACATACAGACACACACATATACACATAATTAAAAGTTAAGTAAATTAAAAATTTTAAAACACTCATACACACAAAATAAAAATAAATCTTTTTTTAAAAGAATATTACAATAATTTCAGAAGGAAGTCCTGTCCCTTGCAGGAGTATGGTGAAAATGGAAGACATTGTGTTAAGAGAAGCTGGCAGGGGCTGAAGAGGTGGCTCAGGAGTTTCAAGTGCTTACTGCTCTTACAAAGGACCACAATGCTCTCTTCTTACCTTTGTGGGCTTCTGTACCCATGTGGTACATAGCCATACACTCAGACACACACATATACATGCAAATAAAAAAAATAAACAGCCAAGTGTGACCTTTAATCCAGAGGGAGGCAGAGGCAGGCAGATCTCTCTAAGTTTGCAGCCAGCTTTTTCTACATAGGAAGTTTCAGGCCAGCCAGGTCTGGACAGTGAGACCCTGTCTCAAAGAAAACATATATATATATGGAGAGAGAGAGAGAGAGGAGAGAGAGAGAGAGAGAGAGAGAGAGAGAAGTTTGTAGGCTTCAAAGAAATGAAAATATTTGAGATGGTAATTAACCCTGACTTCCACATTATGTGCATGTGTCAAACACTTGAAAAGTAGAGCTGGAGAGATGGCTCAGCAGTTAAGAGCACTGGCTGCTTTTGCAGAGGGCCTGAGTTCAGTTCCCAACACTTACATGGTGGGTAACAACCAACTGTAACTCCAGTTCTAGGGATCTGGTACCCTCTTCTGGCCTCTGTAGGCATTGCATGACACAAGTGCACTTGTATACAGGCAAAACATGCATATACATACAATTTTTTTTCATTGTTGTTAGGTTGGGTTTATTGCATGTTTTTATGAAAATGTATGAAAATGAGGTATTTCATGCCTTGTAAAAATAAACAAACTTTGTATTTCAATAAGCAAGACACTAAATATAATCAAATACAAGATCAAAGGGCTTAGTATCAGAGATTGGGATTTGGGATCAGACAAAACAAGCTGAAGTTGGATTTTGTCACTTTTTAGTGGTGTACACTTGAAACATTTGGCCTGTCTGAACCTGCTTTTTACATACGTAAAATTAGAATATACATACCAATACATACATTATTTTAATCACAAAATCTTGTTGAAAGTCAAAATCCTGTCTATGAAATATAGTAACCATGAAATTGAAGATTTCTTTTGTTTCAAACCAATCTAAAACTAGCCAGACATCAGCTGATAATTTGTTTGCAATCCGTTTGAGTAACAGTGCTCCCCTAGCATTGTTCATATTTGTATGTTATGTTTATATTTATTCTCTAAGACGAAGAAAGGAAGCCGTTCACTCATTCCAGTTGTCCTCAGCTATCAGATTCCTTGTGGCTACAAATACATTACAATGTGGTCTAGAAGAAATGAAATTATAGACAGAAGCCCCGCAGGTCCAGGCAGGTGCCAGGACTTCTGTTGTCACTTTGTCCCTTTCTCCACACAAGCCCAGAAGAAAGAGATAATGCAAGCTGACCTGAAAGAACTCAATAACAGGACCAACATAGAAACTTTAAACCAGTGTCAGCTAAATTTCCTTACATACACATATATCAATCTATTCACCAGAAAATGTATTGTCAGTATTTTGATGTGCATTGGTTATTTTTACATGATGTTCTGAATTTTATGACATGCAAATGAAAGCTGTGAAGTCAAGTGTACAAAATGAACCCAAGCCAACAAAAATGTCTTTTTCCTGAACTCTGATTTATGAGGAGGAAATAAAACAGAGCCAAAGTAAACACTATGATGCACCCATTAGAAAGAGAAAGGTCAGCCACCAGACAAGGAAATTAACTACACAATGCAAGAATAAAAAGAACAAAACAAAACCCTTGCTAAATTTTCTTCAATCTCACATCTTGGTGAAGACCCTATCTCAAAACACAAGGTTGACAATTCCTAGGGAATGACCCTGAAATCATTCTCTGGCCTCCACAGGCATGTACATATGTGCACCTGCACACATATGAACACACACATAAATTTAATAGTCCAATTTTGAAAACAAGTCAGCATTCCATGACATTGAAAATCCTGTTGGTTTTCTTTCCACAAACATCAGCCCAACATTAATAATTCCATTACACAACCACAATTTGAATCAACTATGTCATCTAGATATTTAAAATAAAAATGAGCCTCATGTGTTCAGCATCTTTGTTTCTTGTGGGTTTTCATTCATTGTTACAATTAATCCTCTATATAAGCCCTCCATGAAGACATGCTAAAAGTTTTATACTGTGGATATGTACAGCTTAGGGATGGTATCCAAACAAGCTAAACTCGCAGAGCTATAAACAGAACACCAGTTTACACCTGGTCATGTGACTCCATGGCTCATCTTTATGCTGTCTGCACAATACTAGAATCACTCATGTTCTGAATACTTCTTGAAACACATGTAAGTTCATTGTAAAAAGTAATCTGCTGATTTTTTTCCCTAATCCTGGCCCATTTGTCAAGACTCTTACAGGTGAGAACACAATGTGTCAACCTTATAAACATATGTAGCATAATACTAGACTAATCTTGTCCAGAAGTATAGATACTCTACGAATACCTCAGGCAAGTTTCTTATTTAAGAAAATGCTATTGCACACTACAGCATTTACTAAGTAATGTCTGTGTCAGGTTCTCTAAGGGAAAATGATGGCACAACTTCTATGCTTACTTTCTAATTGGAGGGATAGGTGAAATTGTCTTGAAAGTGCTCAACATAATCATTGACATAATGGGATGATAGAAAACAAAGGAGGAATTTGATAATTCACTGCTGTGATAATTATTTTTATTATTCTAATTTCTAGGTAATAATGATAGATAAATGAAAATCTATAAATAAGCTACCAAAGAAATAAACACACTGAATTTTATTATGGAAACCAAGAACTGGGCATGAAAATATCAGTGGGAAATAGGAAAGAAATAATTTTCTTTTAAAAGTATAATGCAGCCAGGCATGGTGGCGCA